CACTATGGCCAAAATGGATTCCATGCAAATGCCTGAAGATTACTTCATGTCAGCAATACACCTGCTACTACTTAATAAACACAATTAGAAGAGACAACTTTATGTAGTGTTCTTATTTATTCCAGTTGCGGAAAATAACCTCTCAAAATAGTGAGGTTTTGAAGGTTGTTTTTTATTTTTTGAAACAGTTACTATGAACATGTGGTCTTCAGAATGGTCCTTGGCCAATGTTAGTTCTTCTCATTTGTGGTGTTTCTGCCTAGCTGTGGAAAAAAAGCCCTCAGAAAACCGATCCTTTGAGGGCTCCTGTAGATGGCCCTGGTGTTCCTGATGCACATCAAATCCAGATCTGCAGATCCTCTATTACTTCAATGGTGCAATGTGGTTGAACATTCTGTGGCTGTGTTTGAGCTTCTTTGTGTGTCTCTGGATGCAGCACATCCTATTGAGAATGCTTTGCATTTCAGACAAAACAGGTCAACCCCATGCCATACCTTCTAACTTTTCTGATATTGTTTTTATATCATTTGCTTATAGTCCTGATGTACAGAATATATGAAAACCCCTGAAGCACATTGATTATATTTGCAGCAATTACATATATTATCTTTGATTAAGAACCATACGCCCATCCATTTCCATGTAAGGCTTTGCCTGCCTGAATTCAAGTAGGTCATTCACCATTTGCTGTACCATATTTTGTGTTCCCCTATCCATTGGATTATGATGTGCTTTATAAATTAGCAGCCTATACATTACTACACAAGATGGTCTCTAGTTTGCACCTGGATTTTTTTTCTCTCTAGTCTCTCTGACAGGGGCGGACTGACAACTAATGGGGCCCCTGGGCAATAGGGGATCATGGGGCCCCTGTGTCCTTGCCCAAACTCAAAAAAGCCTATTAAAAAAATACCAGGGGCATATCATGGGGTCCCCTACAGACCCTGGGCCCTCGGGCAGTGCCTAAGTTTCCAAATGGTCAGTCCGCCCCTGCTCTCTGAGACAGTAAAGAGGGGCACCTAAGCACAAAGTATGTAGGCAGAGGGAGGACCCCTGCCCAGCCCTCAGTTATGACAAACATGAAGAATTTATAAATGCTATGATTGTCTGTATCTGTAAGAGATACCGAATGCTGGCATTCAGATGTGACCAGTTCAGTGTAGCCATTCTTAAGCTGAATCCAGACTCTGTATAATTAAAATATTATTTATTAATAATGAAACAAAAACCCACCCAAAGCCAGCAAACAGAATACAAGGCAAAAGTGAAGATATACGTGACCAGTAAACCAGGTGACAAAATGCTTAACTAGCAACCTAGCTATCATACAATATATACAACAAAGAGAAGATCAGAGATAAGCAGGGTAAAACAGGAGATGCAAGGAGCAACCAAAACTGGGATCAGGAACAAAGGGAGCAGATATGAAGTAGCACAGGATGTAGGTACTGGAGCAGAATCATAGCAGAAATCAAGGTCAGGAGCAGCACATAAATAAACAGGTACAAGACACATGGACAAAACACTGAGGCAAGATGGAATTCTAAAGGAGGGACTAAATACCCTCCCAGCAGCCAGCATCAAGTGAACACTTGCTGGGATCTGCTTTGAGACACCCACTGGCGGAGACTGGAAATACAACCGTCAGGTCCACAAACCACAGTGCCACCAGCAGGTGATCCAGTCCCTGACAGTATTGATCTCAGTCATGAGACTTTTATAGCACTACCCCTCCTCCAAATAGTACAGAGATCACTAGTCACCCAAGCAACAGTTCATTCACTCTGGCTCCAATAAACAGTCTAGGGGTTTGTTTTTTTAACATTTTCTTGCTTGTATGCTTTGTAACAAGAGAGGGAGAGGGGCATGGGATATTCCTAAACAATTTAGCAAACAACAGTTATAGGACAGTCTAAATCCTCACAGCTGGGGACCATGAGGCACATCTTCTTTGGCACCTGGTTATCCTGCACAATTGTACAGATGAAACCAGTGCAACTTCAGGAACACTGCACAGTACAGGAAAGCACTCTTTACTAAGTTCACAGTCCAGTACATTGCTGAGGATAAGGGAATGGCTAGTATTTGAGATCCTATGATAGGCATTTCAGTCAGGCAGTGTCTGGCACCTGTATTCCAAAAGCACACAATCACCAGGAATCAATCCAGGGTCATTACTCACAATCCCCAGGACAGATGCCACCTTCCAGATTCCTCTAGACAGCCCAGTGAGTGAGAAAAATCCATCTTAAGACCAGTTCCCTTTGGTGAAGTTCTGTAACCCATTCCAGATCCCTTCCAGGTCTCCTGCCCTGAAACCTCAGAGAATAGCAGCACAACCCAAGGCTTGCCTCAGAGAGGAAACAGCCCCCTCTAAGCCTGGGAACATCTCCTTGCTGGGGATAGACAATCTCTCTTGGGCTTCATACTATTTTTCAACTTCCCAACCACCATCTAGGCACACCTCCCCGCCTAGGCACTGATCAATATTCAAGCCAGTTGTTTGAACTCTCCCTCCCTAAGCTCTTGAAATCTCTTATAGAGGCAGAAGGAAGCAATCAGACTCCCAGCGTGTGAAACCTTGAACAGGCCAAAACAACCTCTGCTCTCTTGATTACAGAAGAAACCAAAAACTAAATGTACCTAGCAGCCTAACTAGGAGGGCACTAAACTTTAATAAAATGCAGATTTTTTTAAATTTAAGATGTTTTAGCCTTCCAATGCTGATCCTTATTTATCAAGTTAATCTCTCCTTATCAACATCAAACACTTGGTTTCAAATGTAAGACCCCTATATGGTCCCCCAAGTGGGTCTAGGGTAAACACCCAATACTGCAATTTAGCACTGAAGAGCCATGATGCCCTGAATCATATTGGTGGCACACCTTTTACCAATCATTAGTAAAGTCTGGAACAGAAACTTTCATGTGTATGACTTTCTATGCAAGCCATTCCTCACCACACATTCAAAAACATTCATCTTGAAAAAACCAACACCCTTCCCAGTACCTCCAGGAACTGAGCAGACCTGAAAATGTTTTTTTATGAGATGTGATGATATGGAGATTCAGTTAGAGAGGGATAGTCTGAAAACAAACAGTTTCTGCTTGCTCTCTGTCTTTAGAGAACCTATAAGTGTCATGATTGCATCTTGTATTAAATGTTCACTTACAGGAGACCGACAAGAAAACCCCTTAATTCAGAAAAGTATACAGTTTACTGTACGAACATTTGAAATAAAATAGCCACCAGACCATTATGGTTTCCCTTTTAACTCCTAGGTTTTAGTCTGGGTTTGGCTACCTCCAAGAATATTGTGTTAGGGGTGGCTTTGAGTAGAGAGTTCCAAAAAGTCACACCTGCGTTACAGAAGGCTTTATTTTTGCAGGGTGGACATTGGGGTACACAGTATGTTAATTCTTACCAAGTGGTAGCTGATACCAAAAATCCTTTCATTACCTGTGAACAAGGCCATTTAGGTCTTTGTAGGTCAGGTTGTGGTTGTAGGCTGGTGTTCATGGGACTGCCCATCAAGTATCCCCAGCCTGGGATTCTCCATTTATTATGTCTTCTGGACTACTGGTCCCAACACTTTGGACAGCTGGGGAAGTGTGATTGATATGGGACTTCTCCCTGGATTCCACCACTGATATTTCTAAGTCATGGTTGCACTTATACTAGCACAGTGTTCCTATCAGGGCCTGGGTTCAAACCTGAAAACCTCTGCAGTATCTGGCAATGTCTCCTCTTGCTAAGCCACCTGAAAAGCTGGACAGATCCCTGGACATTTCCTTGAATGATTATGCCTTGACTTTGTTTGTCATGAACCTTGAACCCTTTGCTCCACTCATGAACTTCCTGATATAAGCCATGTCTCTGCACTTCCTGTTTGCTAGATTATTTTGCCTCCTCCAGCCAATATCTCACTCTTGTCATTCCTTTTGCCATCGGTACATTTGCTACCACCTTGTTACTGCTGGTATACCTATTCTTCTAGTTGATGGGAGCCTCTCTTCTACTATAGCTACTGGTCTCCGAGCCTGACACCTGACCATGACAGGGCCATTGGAAGTAGGAATTGTCCTGGTATCAGTGGGAGAAAACAATGCATCTTAGATATTAGGGGTAGAAATACTACACCATTATTGGTATCAGTAAGAGGAATAGTACACCATTGTTGGTATCAGTGAAAGGAATAGTGCACCATTGTTGGTATCAGTGGGAGGAATAATGTCCCATTGTTGGTGTCAGCAGGAGGAATAGTGCCCCATCATTGGTGTCGGTGAGCGGAATAGTGCCCCATTGTTAGTGTAAATGGGAGAAATAGTGCCCCATCTTTTGTATCAGTGGGAAGAATCATGCCCCATCATCTGTGTCAGTGGGAGAAATAGATCCTCATTGTTGGTGTTAGTGGGAAGAATCGTGCCCCACCATTGGTGTCAGTGGGAGGAATAGTGCCTCACCATCAGTATCAGTGGGAGGAAGAGTGCCCCATCATTTGTATCAGTGGGAAGAATCAGGCCGCAACATCAGTGTCAGTGGGAGGAATGGAGCCTCATCATTTGGGTCAATGGGAGGAATAGTGCCCCATCGTTGGTGTTAGTGGGAAGAATATTGCCCCATCGGTGGTGTCAGTGGGAGAAATAGTTCCTCATCATTGGTATCAGTGGGAGGAATAGTGCTCCATCATTGGTATCAGTGGGAGGAATAGTGCCCCATCATTGGTATTAGTGGGAGGAAAAGTGTCCCATCATTGGTATCAGTGGGAAGAATAGTGCCCCATCATTGGTGTCAGTGGGGAGGAATAGTGCCCCATCATTGGTATCAGTGGGAGGAATAGTGTCCCATCATTGCTATCAGTGGGAGGAATAGTGTCCCATCATTGGTATCAGTGGGAGGAATAGTGCCCCATCATTGGTATCAGTGGAAGGAATAGTGTCCCATCATTGGTATCAGTGGGAGGAATAGTGTCCCATCATTGGTATCAGTGGGAGGAATAGTGTCCCATCATTGGTATCAGTGGGAGGTATAGTGCCCCATCATTGGTATGAGTGGGAGGTATAGTGCCCCATCATTGGTATCAGTTGGAGGTATAGTGCCCCATCATTGGTATCAGTGGGAGGATTAGTGCCCCATCATTTGTATCAGTGGTAGGGATAATGCCCCATCATTGGTATCAGTGGGAGGAATAGCCCCATCATTGGTTTCAGTGGGAGGAATAGTGTACCATCATTGGTGTCAGTGGGAGGAATAGAGCCCCATCGTTGGTATCAGTGGTAGGGATAATGCCCCGTCATTGGTGTCACTTGGAGGTAAAGTGCCCCATCATTAGTATCAGTGGGAGGAATAGTGCCCCATCATTGGTATCAGTGGGATGTATAGTGCCCCCATCATTGGTATCAGTGGTAGGGATAATGCCCCATTGTTGGTATCACTGGGAGGTAAAGTGCTCCATCATTGATATCAGTGGGAGGGATAGTGCCCCGTTGTTGGTGTCAGTGCGAGGAAAAGTGTCCCAATGGCTGGATTAAGGCAAGCAAAGGGCCATATCCAGCCCCTAGGCCACAGTTTGGAAACCACTGCTCTATTGCAGTACCCTGCCACCATTTCCAGCTCCTTCCACCATTACTAAAATCCTTCCTCTGCTGCTGGCCTGCTGCCATTACCATCTCCATCTACCCTCACTGGCTCCTTCCATCAATACAACCTGCCTCCATTACCAGCAGATTTTTTTTTTTTTCATGAAATATATCCTTTGGAAGACTAAGCATTTTCTGGCACTTTTTTGTTTTACAAGTTTAAATCAGTATATTTTGCTAGAAAATTATTTATAATCCCCAAACATTATATATGTTTTTTATTAACAAAGACCCTAGAGAATGAAACGGCGATCGTTGCAATTTTTATGTCACATGGTATTTGCGTAACGTTTTTTAAAACGCAATTTTTTAGGAAAAAATGCACTTTATTGATTTTTTTTAAAAAAGAAACAAAATATATACCCCGATTGTTTATAACATATGAAAGATGATGTTACAGTGAGTAAGTAGATGCCTAACATGTCACGCTTTAAAATTGCACACGGTAGTGGAATGGCAACAAACTATGGTGCTTAAAAACTCCATAGGCAATGCTTTAAAAATGTTTACAGGTTACCCCTTTAGAGTTACAGAGGAGGTCTAGCACTAGAATTATTCCTTTTGCTTATCACGGCCATACCTCAAATGTGCTGCGAACACTGTGTGCGTGATTTATGTAAGCGTTCACTTCTTTTTTTCATTTTTAAACTGTCCTTTTATTTTTATTTTTTTAAGCATTTTTATTCCTATTACAAGGAATGTAAAAATCCCTTGTAATAAAAAAGGAATGACAGGTCTTCTTTAACCACTCACCCTCCAGAGGATTTATCCCCCTTCCTGACCAGGCCATTTTTTGAGTTACGGTACTGCGTTATTTTAACTGACAATTTTGAGAAAAAAAATATATTTTTGACTTTTTGCTATTAAACATGTCCAGTAAAAGAATTTTAAAAATCAAATTTTGTAATAAATTTAGGCCAAAATGTATTCTGCTCCATGTCTTTGCTAAAAAAATCCAATACATGTAAATTAATTTGTTTACGTGAAAGTTATAGTGTTTACAAATGGCGGTATATATACTGATTTTTTTTTTTTTTTTAATTTTTACTAGTAATGGTGACTTATAGTGGGACTGCTGTGGGCATTCTGACACTGGGGGGAACTGACTTGGTGTCACTGACATCCCCAGTGACACCAATACAGTGATCACTGCTACAAAAAAAAAAGCACTGACACTGTACTAATGACAGTGGGCAGGAAGGGGTTAACACGAGGGGCAATCAAAGGGTTAACTGTGTGTTTTACTAGGGGGTGGTGTCTGTGTTCTTCACTGTAATCACACTGCTCTGGATGGCTGTGCTGTGCAGTGTGCCCGAGCTTACAGGGAAGAGGACTGTTAGTAAACAAAACAGTCCTCCTCCCCATCAGTGATCATCAGAAATCACTGGGCGCCGGTGAGTAATTACCGGCTGGGACTCAGTGATTGACAGCCAAGTCTGCGAATGGCAGCACATGTGTATATATATATGTATATGTATATATGTGTGTATATATATATATATATATATATATATATATATATATATGTATACATGTGCTGCCATTCGCAGACAAAAAATTAGAATATCGTGCACAAAAAAATTTATTTATTTCAGTAATCCAACTTAAAAGGTGAAACTAATATATGAGATAGACTCATTACATGCAAAGCAAGATAGTTCAAGCCGTGATTTGTCATTATTGTGATGATTATGGCTTAGAGCTCATGGAAACTCCAAATCCACAATCTCAGAAAATGAGAATATTGTGAAAAGGTGCAATATTCTCGGCTCAAAGTGTCCCACTCTAATCAGATAATTAAGCCATAACACCTGCAAAGGGTTCCTGAGCCTTTAAATGGTCTCTCAGTCTGGTTCAGTAGGAATCACAATCATGGGAAAGACTGCTGACCTGACAGTTGTGCAGAAAACCATCATTGACACCCTCCATAAGGAGGGAAACCCTCAAAAGGTAATTGCAAAAGAAGTTGGATGTTCCCAAAGTGCTGTATCAAAGCACATTAATAGAAAGTTATGTGGAAGGGAAAAGTGTGGAAGAAAAAGGTGCACAAGCAGCAGGGATGACCGCAGCCTGGAGAGAGGATTGTCAGGAAAAGGCCATTCAAAAGTGTTGGGGACTTTCACAAGGAGTGGACTGAGGCTGAAGTCAGTGCATCAAGAGCCACCACACACAGACGGATCCTGGACATGGGCTTCAAATGTCGTATTCCTCTTGTCAAGCCGCTCCTGAACAACAAACAATGTCAGAAGCGTCTTACCTGGGCTAAAGAAAACAGACCTGGTCTGTTGCTCAGTGGTCCAAAGTCCTCTTTTCTGATGAGAGCATCTCTTTTGCATCTCATTTGGAAATCAAGGACCCCGAGTATGGAGGAAGAATGGAGAGGCCCAAGGACCCAGAGTATGGAGGAAGAATGGAGAGGCAAACACTGCAAGATGCTTGAAGTCCAGTGTGAAGTTTCCACAGTCTGTGTTGATTTGGGGAGCCATGTCATCTGCTGGTGTTGGTCCACTGTGCTTCATTAAGTCCAGGGTCAATGCAGCCGTCTACCAGGAGATTTTGGAGCACTTCATGCTTCCTTCCACAGACGAGCTTTATGGGGATGCTGACTTCATTTTCCAGCAGGACTTGGCACCTGCCCACACTGCCAAAAGCACCAAAACCTGGTTCAATGACCGTGGGATTACTGTGCTTGATTGGCCAGCAAACTCGCCAGACCTGAACCCCATAGAGAATCTATGGGGCATTGCCAAGAGAAAGATGAGTGACATGAGACCGAACAATGCAGGAGAGCTGAAGGCCACTATTGAAGCATCCTGGCCTTCCATAACACCTCAGCAGTGCCACGGGCTTATAGCTTCCATGCCACGCCGCATAGAGGCAGTAATTGCTGCAAAAGGGGCCCAAATAACTAATAATAATAAAATAATAATAATAATAATAATAATTAATAATAATAATGTACAAGGTGTATGTGAGTGTGACCACTGGGGGTGTACAAGGTGTACGTGAGTGTGGACACTGGGGGGTGCACAAGGTGTACGTGAGTGTGGACACTGGGGGTGTACAAGGTGTACATGAGTGTGGACACTGGGGGGTGTACAAGGTGTACATGAGTGTGGACACTGGGGGTGTACAAGGTGTATGTGAGTGTGGACACTGGGGGTGTACAAGGTGTACGTGAGTGTGACCACTGGGGGTATACAAGTTGTATGTGAGTGTGGACACTGGGGATGTACAAGGTGTATGTGAGTGTGGACACTGGGGGTGTACAAGGTGTACGTGAGTGTGACCACTGGGGCGTACAAGGTGTATGTGAGTGTGGACACTGGGGGTGTACAAGGTGTACGTGAGTGTGGACACTGGGGGCATACAAGGTGTATGTGAGTGTGGACACTGGGGGTGTACAAGGTGTACGTGAGTGTGACCACTGGGGGCGTACAAGGTGTATGTGAGTGTGGACACTGGGGGCGTACAAGGTGTATGTGAGTGTGGACACTGGGGGTGTACAAGGTGTATGTGAGTGTTGACACTGGGGGTGTACAAGGTGTATGTGAGTGTGGACACTGGGGGCGTACAAGGTGTATGTGAGTGTGGACGCTGGGGGTGTACAAGGTGTATGTGAGTGTGGACGCTGGGGGCGTACAAGGTGTATGTGAGTGTGGACACTGGGGGCGTACAAGGTGTATGTGAGTGTGGACACTGGGGGGTGTACAAGGTGTACGTGAGTGTGGACACTGGGGGTGTACAAGGTGTACGTGAGTGTGGACACTGGGGGTGTACAAGGTGTACGTGAGTGTGGACACTGGGGGGTGTACAAGGTGTATGTGAGTGTGGACACTGGGGGTTGTCAGCACCTGTGGTAGTGAGCTCTTGTTGATACTCAACTTGGGGTTCCCAGGGCACGGAATCTAAGCCCCAGCCTGCTTCTTCACCAGGGCCCCTGATAGTGGGGGATAGCTGGGACCATGTCGCGGCCCCCAGGTACACCCAGCTGAGGTTGAAGAGGACCGCTTGCAGAAGCAGAGTACAACAGGAGAAGACAAACAGAATCCAATAGGCTAGCCGAGGTTAGGACAGGCAGAAAACAAGCAAGGTCAGAGAACGAAGCCGGGGTCAGTACATGAGAAGTCAATCTAGGATTCAGCCAGTAGTAACACACGAGAGCTCCAACAACTATGCCATTGCTCAGGTAAAGTGGCCTAGACTGAGCATGTCTAGACAAGCAAACAAGGAGGCGGTCCAGGAAGTGTTGGAAGGGAAGGATATAAAACCCAGAGGACAGCAGACAACACCCATAGGTGAGTGCAAACACACATGTGAAAGGGATCAGGAACAGGGCTGCAGAAAGAAGGTAAGAACAGCAACAAAAAACTTGTGACTGGGGGCG